AAACGTTTAACATTCCCCGTAAACATGCGGGCTACTTTATAAAACAGTGATAGTGGAAGCGAAGGCTCCGACCTCGCTGATACCATGAATGGACGCATCACTCGGCAGTCTATTGTTACCAGCATCCTATAGATTATATCTGTCCGTTGGCTCGCCATTGTTAGCTGTGTCGGCAGTAGGGATGCCAACACAAGAGATCCTCGTACATATACGAGATTATTAGCCATCGATACGAGCATATTTTTCATTCTCGAACAAGTTGTACGATAATTTGATCTACGAAAATCGAACAAGGCTAAAGAGCGAAATTAAGGCAAAATACGTGATTATTTACTTCTTCATACGGGGATAAATGGTTTAAGGTTGGCAACCCTATTTGACATTCATCGTTCACTGTAATTGCAGATTTGTTCTGATAAGTAATTAATACATACGTGTAATTTGCTTGTCCCATTATGGTTTTAATTCCACTAGCATTGTCACTAGCATTAGCATTGTCATACATGTGGTGTCTGTAAATTAAATTTATTTCTTCTTAAAAACAATATACATATTTCCGCTGTACTTGAGATATCAAGGTCACAATATTCTTTTATAACTTTGTACATTTGTATACTCTCAAAACAGCTTAACTGTATTAAGAATGCGGTTTTCATTGATATATTACGCGCTACCTGGGCTAAGGATAGATATGCACGGGTAGGACTCTACTGGATAATGTAAGTATGAGAATGAAATCAGGTCAGTCTTCCCATCGAATTTAGCAGGAAATAACGACGATTGATTGATCAGTAATATACCCTGTCAGTACTATATATACATCCATCGCGTGACATTTGACAGCCTTTCCCTCAGCCCCTTTTGTCTTTGTGGAATAGGAGATATAGGGATAACGAGAGTATTAATAGTTATTGACTATTAAGAAAGAGTTATTGTCGTAGCATTATCACATAAAATAATGATATAATCACCCGGAAGATTACATCCGCTTGGCAACACTCCAGCAGCGTAATGTAAATTTAGACGCAAACAAACTCGTCACTTGGTTTTTATATTGTCATCTACTTTCTATTAATGGAGTTTCTTAATTGGTCGTTAATGTCAATGTTTATACAGACTGCTGAGTCTGTTTCAGTTAAATTATGTGGAGCAATTTTATCCATATTGAGAAAGTTTCTTTTTTATATTGTCAGTATTTATTTTCATCATCTATTGAGTCTTCGATAACACAAACAGGTTCTTGTAAATTACCATTGCTACTTGTGGATTCCTGTGATCGTGAACTGGAATATAGCCGAAATCAAAATAGCTCTATGTGGACATATATATATTTCTGACTGAAATCTTTGATTACAAACTCTTCGGTATTTCGGGTGACTTCGAAATGTAGGCATTATTATACATTTAGCGCGACGTCTGCAGTTGTTAGTTTTTCGTTGGCTGCGTTAATATGATATATAGATAGGTCTGGACAAACATTTACGTCCGGTCTTCATATTCTAGGTGCCAAATTTAAATTTGTAGAATATTGAGTTTAGTCGTCGATTGTTTAAGTGTTTAAGAAACACCAGGATAACAGATTTTTTTCCATTCCTAAAAATTTTAATATCTAGAAGTTGTTTATTATATAAATCCTGGCTGACATTGTACCTATATTTGAGAGCAAGATTGAAACTCTGTATATTTGTAGGATTTTAGCTACAATAGAATAAACAGGTCTGCGATTTCGTCTGCATGACTACGATTATTAGTCTTTAATTCTATAACCTGGTGCCATTGAAAACCGACTTCTTCTCTTGCTATAAATCTGAGTGGGGTCTTTTCGATATTTTGTTTATATTGATACTTAATTCTGTGTAAAAAATAAATATTTTAGTTTATTCATCAAAAAAGCTTCGTATGCTCATGCCAAAATTTATGATGATTTTTCAAGCCGACTCAAGGTATGGATGGAAGCGTAGCAAACTTTACCATTTATTATATTAGTTGGTATCGTGTTTCATACTTTGTAACGACAGCTGTCATTTCGTAGAATTCCGTAGGAAAATCGTTCCATAATTTTCTTTATGTGACGTCCCTTTGACGTCAATAGGCTCTGTTGCCTATATAAAGTAGGCCATGCTAGCTATTGTTTTATTTATCTGACACTAGTGACCCACCTCTGCTTCGCTCGGATGTAAACAGAAATATATGCATGTATTATACATATAAACTCTATGGTTCCGAGGTTTAACACGCAGCCATCCAATCGTCACGCGTTCAATACCTGTTCCCACATTTTGTATTCATGAGTATCATTATTTATGTTGGTACCCAGACCTTCTATATATATCTATATATATATCTACCCAGATTTTCTATATATATTATGAATGTATACAAGATAAGTATCAGAGTATTTCTATTAATGTTTTAGTACTTATACTGCAATCTCTGCTTAGTTGAGGATTGCTGCGTAAATAGTGCATTCTTATGATTATTCATCATCTGCTTCTTTATCCCATCCAATTGGGTCAGCGTAATATATTTTTCCCTTGCATTCATCCCTGTTCGCAGTCATTTCATTATCCACTCACTTTCTTGCCATATCATCTTTCTCACAGTCCATCCATTTCTTTTTCGGCTTTACCCTGCCATTAAAATAATGAAAGGGACGTTCCGGAAAATTCTCGAAATGATTATCGTAATGATGAAAACCGTATAACAAACCGTGGCGTCGTTTAGAAAAAGCTAGCGGTAAAACAGTCAGATGAAAACAATGACTTTGCATATAAAGATACAGATGACTTTACTATTTATTTAGATTGAAGGTCGTAATGTCCTTGTTTCAATAAGGTATATCAATGGATATACAAGGCATAATGTTGCGGTTGGCAGTCATAACGTTTCCTTATATGATTATATTTTTATAGGTCTTTTAACCTCGGTGGTGTAACGATATACCATGTCGCCTTATTTACAATGATCACGGGTTTGATTCCTCGCGCAGTACAAACATTTTTGTTTGCATCTTGCTAGGAATGCAATCTGCGACAGTCTGAAGTAAAGCAGTGTACTAAACCACTAGACCATAGAGATCGTCACATTAATATGGCTATTTGTTATTCTGCTGACCCTTATGTACCCTACTCACGTAGATAATCGGTAAGGTGCATGGGTGTGGACTTAAGTATTTGTACAACTATACACAGTACCATATCAGTGTGTATATATAGAGCAATGTTTTATATGTTTACTATTCATGTAGTATCATTATCACCTAATTGTACATAGATACTGCTTAGAAAAAAATGCTACGCTCCAAATTGTCGTTAGATAACATAATATTGGTGAAATTCCTTTGATAGTCGAGTGTTTATCGGATTATAAAACAGACTTCACTGTAACATTTGGATTCTATTTATTTGTATTAATAAAGGCTTATTTATTTATAAATGTGGTAGAGTTTATTTGTTACTTTACCTTTTAAGAGCTCAACAATATACATAGAGAGGCGCTGTTCGTGGGTTTTAGATTAGATTCATGAAAAGCGTGTTTCTAATAATCTGTGTTAAGAGGTAATGTGGACTAATGAACCCATTGCTAGAAATGTACCATGTCGGGTTGATCTCGATGTTGTTTACCCTACCATAGTGATAAGTGAATTTGTCACGATGGACTTACTGACCTTATACTCATCTTATCCTCCTCCAGCGATGCCCCGCCAGGGTAAATCATTCGCGCAGCGGGTGCACTATTCCATTATCATCCATTAAAAATAAAATCTATATTTGGAGGGAATGTGGTTTAAAGAACCCATCGTTAGCTCCATGTGGTTCCTCCTGGAAACCATAGTGATAAATTCCTAGTGAATTTTGTCACGACTGAATGAATTTGTAACTATGTGCTAACTGTTCTGACATCATGCTCATCTTATCTTCCTCCACTGGTGCCCGGCCAGCGTAAACCGTTAGCGCAGGCGGGTACACCATTTCATTACCATCTATAAAAAAATTGTTTTTAGTTTACCCATAACAATAGTCAAGTCAGGTTTTTTATAATAGTAGTGATGCTATATGTTTGTATTTATATATATTTATCTAGAATCTCCATTGTATGGTGTATTAGTATGTGTAGAGCCGTTGTTAGACTTCACGCATTGACCTTTTCCTTGATCTTCCATAACCTTGGAAACATAAAACTAACTTACAATTGTCATAGTAATATTTATTAATTATGTAGGTGCGGAATTATGAAATTTAAAATATTTACTTACATAATAATAATAATATTCTGTAAGTAGATATATAGTACGTCTGTAGTAAGTAGTATGTTGTAATAATATTTTAAGGAAGGTGTTACATATGAATGTGGATGGTTATAAGAGCAGAGGAAAGTCTAAAAAGAGATGAATGGACTGTGTGAAATGATATCGTAAGAAAGGAAGTTACTTACTTCCTTACGAGGTGACTACGAACAGGGATGAATGGATAAGAAAATATATTGCGACCCCAAATAAATGGATTAAGGAAGTAGCAGATGGTAATAATAATAATGTCTCAGATCAAATAACGCAAATTCATAGTTCCAAGTAAAGCATAGCTTGTGGTATGAGTACTTACTACACAGTGCTTTACTACCGATGGTCGCGGGTTCGATTCCTCGCACGGTACAAACGTTTGTATTCATGAATATGATTGTTTGTGTCGGTCTGGGTGTTTTCTATCTATATTGTGTATGTATTTCCTAAAAAGTATATATGTACCTATGTATTTATAACAGTTGCCTAGTGCCCACAACACAAGCTCTGCTTACCTTGAGGTTAGATGACGTTGCGTGAATTGTCCGTAGTTAATTTTCGCAAACTATAGTAAGAAATTTCATAGACTCACCTATAATTTTTAAGCCAATTGTACAATAAAACGCTAGTTAGCAATACAACTCTAAAGAACTTTTAAACAAATTAATACTGTACTGTACTCTAAATAGGATACAATTTTCATTAAAAATGTAATTTGCAGATGAACGTCCGCGTGACGACTATGGACGCGGAGCTGGAGTTCGCGATCCAGCAGACGACCACCGGGAAGCAGCTCTTCGACCAGGTGGTCAAGACCATCGGCCTGCGAGAGGTCTGGTTCTTCGGCCTCCAGTACACCGACTCAAAGGGTGACCTCACCTGGATTAAGCTTTATAAAAAGGTTAGTCAACTTTTTATGTTTAAAATTATTTCAATTGATTATATTAATTTATGTGATTCCTGATTCGATAGTAATGTTTTTTATGGACTTAAAATGACGAATAAGCTGACTCACCTGATGGTAAGTGGTAATTGTCGTCTATATAACATGAACAGCAACAGCAACACTGGCCAGTGCATAGTCTTTTGACACCCGTGACACCACTCACGCGTTAAGCAGGCAGGAGTTAGCCTTCTGCCGTTCCATTACTCCTTCCGCGGATATGGGGTGCCATCTGTACTCTCTTATCATTCGATGAAGCTGTGCAGCTGCGGTCATTAGAATAGTTCGAATAAAAACCCCATGCAGCCGTAGGATTAGGATGTCCTGTATTTTCACTGTCGTATCTCAACTGAAACTAATTTTACAAAGCTTCTTTGCGACTTAAGTACGGAGGTAGAGACAGAGGTAGTCCTACAGACAAAAGTAATGTACTAATAAATTCGTTTATATACATGGAGCGTATCTAATAAACAAAGTAACAGATGTTTTCGTAGAATTTTTTATTTAAATAAGACATAAAAGAATGACACAATGAAAAGTTTGTGTTGTCTATAGATTGTACATTTTAATGTATTATTGATAATAAAAAAACAAGTCAAATACAAAACTGTCTGTGTAAACACCATTGTCGCATGAGGAGTACCGCGAGCGCAGGCTCATGACGTTGATTACATGATGTTCATGATGCAGTTTATGTATGTATCATCATCAGGACCGTCAGCTTGTTCGTCATTCGGAGTCACCTAAAAAACCCACAAATTGTATTTGAATTTTTGAAGTATTACTTGAAGAAACTAATGAAGGAAATAGCTCCAAAGAATTGACGAAATCGTACAATATCTGCTGATAAACTATCTAAGTTTGTTAATAGTTTTGATGGTTTTATGAATAAAGGGTTTAATATATCACGCTTGGAAAAAACAGAATATTTCGACGTAAAAATCGTTAATTTTATACTAACCGTTGGATCTGTTTTCGAAGGCGCGGTTACAGTAAAAGTAAAAGTAAATTAACTGGTCACTTAACGTTTCACTGCGGGATATCATACGAATGCCGATCGGTGAATGTATCACAGTTCTAGCGTAGGTTCTCTGCTTGTGTGAAATTGCTATAGTGACTCTGTATGAAGTGAATATAATGATTTATGGTTGGGCCAAACAATCTTCCGAATTAAACGAAACTTTCTTTAGTATCTATAGCGAAATATGTATAAGTTTATGATTTATCTCATTATATTTTATTTGATAGTCATATTTTATAATAGTATAGATTTTTCTTCATATATTTGTTCTCATATGAAATTAATTTAAAAAATCTATTAAGTACTTAAGTTTTCAATCGAAGTTGCGAGCCATAATGGTAAGGGTAGATATGAAAAATTCAACGTACGTAGGTGATAAATAGGTTCTTATTATAACTGATTTAGACACTGTAAAGAAATGGATTGATCGAATGGATTTCAATTCAGGATTGATTCAGCTCATTGATTCAGGAATACTGTTACTAAGTCACGCATATTGTTACAAGTAGTTTTGCTTCCCATACCAATAGCAGCATTGAACTGTAACTGCAGGTACCTGCATTAATAATCGTCACTTTTACTTATTTCATTCATTGCCTTGCATGTGAATGTTTTACAAGTATATACAATTAGCTGTGTTTTAGAAAATAAATATATGTTCAAAATTTCAATATTCTACACCTAGAATGTTGACAGTGCGGTGATAGTCAGAAGCGACTGTTATAAGAATACACGTTAAGTTTAGGACTTCATTAAATCGGCGTGTACACGAATATAGCCACGCATTAGTGATGCCACTTCGAGAAAGTGATATAGTTCTAAATTGGACTACTACGGTTCGTGAACACGATAAGAATTAACGAGAAACACGTATTATTTACTTCACTGGAATGCTACTGAGTCTTTTCTGACGTATAAATGAGTGGATGTTCGAAGATTTTAACGAAATCCATAGTAAATGAGAAATAATTTTTATTAAAATCATTCAATTTTCTATCATTATTCAGTCAATTTGTTAAGACAGACCAATTTTGTTATACTTCAAGTTACTCTTCTGTTTAATATCCTTTAATATCTTATACCAGTAGACCCACTGTATTATGTCTACCAGTATTTTTTACACATTACATATCCGGTGTATATGTTAATTATTATTTAAATTTGCATTACCTATTTAGGAGTGAGTAACAATGTGATAGAGATGACTTGAACGTTCTGAATATTGTCAACAATTTTGTTTTTTTTAATGTTCTAATTTATTTTCTTATATTTTGTTTTAATTTGCTTAATTTCAAACAATGTTGACTTGAACTGAATTGGACTTATTTGTCTTGGATTTAAGGTAGATATTTTGAAACTACTTTTCTACTACAAGGAAGAACAAAACATCAAAACAGTTTGAGCGCAATTTAAATTCACATACGTGAGCCAGTGCATACAGATAATTTAACAAATTGATGTGAGAATTGAACCACGTAACTCATCTACTACAGAAGCACCGTGTTCAATTACTTCTAGATTCCCGCGAACGTTCTTTGCTATGCTATCTAATTTTACAGCAACCACTCTAAAATCCTTCTTATAGTTTTCGTATCGTACCTATAGCGTTGGATAAATCTATTAATTTAAACTTTAGATCTAGTGAATCTGAAAACATTAAAAGCCAACGGAACCTCTCTCTTACCTCTTCAAGATATCCCTTATTATTTTTTCCGTCTGAGCTACACTTTCCCCGTTTTTGAAACATTTTTCATTACAGCTCTGCTCCTATTGGTCTTAGCGTGATATTATATAGCCTATAGCCTTCCTCGATAATATTAGTATACATTATTCCATTTAGGGAAAAAACGTACTTGACTCTATACCTACACCCCAATGTTTATACCAATCTTGAGAATAAACGTATTGCTCATACGACTAAAACTGGTATCTTATAATTTATTTTTAGTGAACTAAAAGGCCAAGTTTATTAGTTTTTAGCTCAATTATATGTTTATCCAGCTACGTGTTATGGCTTATGGTTAATTCATTATTTACTCTTAGTTTCCTAGTAAATATTATAATTTCCTATGATTTTCATTGGCATGTATATAGCATAACGTATTGCTTATTTCTGCAGAGAGCAATTTTCTAGAGAAACAGCAATGTTCTTTGTTGGAAGGAGGAAATTCAGAGTAGCACTAGTATAAGCCAACTCCTCATTACGCAGAAATTATATTATTGATTTTGATTTATCAGATCATTTTGTATGCAGTTTAAGACCGCATAATATTCTTATACTAGTCATTTAAAACCGGTGACTCGCATAAGACGAAACGGTTACAATGAGTCACATCTCGTTCATATGGCTGGCTGATAAGCTTGATGTCATGCATTGGAAATGTGTTTGGAGTGTACTACTAAGCTATCCTTTAATAAAGTAATATCAGCGTATTTAAGGTGATATGGCTGCTTTTTCTTTTTATGTAATTAGAATAGGAAACAAGTTGACGACCCAACTAATAGTAAGCGGAAACCTATATACATGAACAGCACTACGACTGCAAGTTTACATGTGAGGTTCCGTGATAGCAATGTCATGCCTTCTATCCAGTGATTTCACCGCCTAATCTGACCTCAATATAGCTTACAAAGTAAATAGTTGGTGGATGAAATAAGTGAGACTGAAATGCCCACCAAGACCACTTTTTACAGTTTTATTCTACCTCTGGTGAATGAAAGAGCGATTTGTTTTTCAAATTATATCGTTAACGGTATCAGCGTTCGAGTTGTTAAGACTTTTAAATAACTCGTATTGAATCAAATTGAAAATGGTGTGAACATGAACATCGAGATAGTGATCAATTAGATCACCTTGTTATATCACCATGCTCTTATTAATAGACCAACCATATGGTATGACATATCAATATCAATGACATTCCCGGTGGTCTAGCGGTTTAGAACACATCCTTACTTGTTCGTGTGGCCGCGGGTTAGATTCCTCGCACGTACAAAATTTATATTAAAGAGTTCATCTGGTCTGGGTGTTTTCTAATTATATTTTGTATATATATACAAAAAATGTATCTATGTATTTATATCAGTTTTCTAGTACCCAATAAGCTCTGTTTAGCTTGTGACTAGATAGCGCATTGTGAATTGTTCCTAGATATTATGCACAATGCAAATGTCCCAAATGAGAATATCCTCATCACCTCGGCAGGTTTTTTATTTACGTTGAACGGAACTCGTGTTTCCGTCATTCGGTTGGCAATAAACAATTCTGTGAAATTGTTTTCCTCACTTGGCCGACATTGACCCGGTAAAGCAATGTGAACATGTGCCGAACTTATTATTGAAGTCGCTTTATCACCGAGGACGGCGACATTACCAAACTCGCTCAATGAATATTCAAAAAGGTCGTCTAGGACTTTCTTCAGAATTACTTGTAAGCGTTACTAATTTTGCATCGTGAATATATTATGTTTCAAACACACGCTAGGTTAAAATGAACGTTTAAAGAACACCTGATGCCAGGTTTAAAGGATCATGACAGATTAGTACGTAACATTTTGAAATTATCATAGTAACACCTAAAATTTCGACAACGTATAGGTTGTTAACATTTGCAGTTTATAGGATTTTTAGAAATGCTTTTCCCAACTGCTGCTCAGGAATATAGAATGTTGAAGTAAACAAAAAATATTTACATTTCACAACAAGTAACACGTAACACGATCTGGTTTTGCGAAAGTTAATATAAATGGTTTCAGAAAGTCTGCAAAAAATTTAATGTACATGAAAGAATATGTACTTAATCCGCGTTATACTCGTACTTTCAGATTTAAAACCTTCATCGAAGTTTAGTTTAAAGCAATTAATGGTATTCCTAATATTTATTTTGAATTTATTTTCATTTGTAATATATAATCAGTATAACCTAAAATTTAAAACA